TTTATTTGTCATAATGTTTATTTACTTGAATTATCAAGTGACATAAAGCGCATTTACTCGAATTATCATGTGACATAACCTTCAAATCTTCGAAATGTCATATTTAAGAAATTTCAGACATTTTAATTTACAGAAATTTTATTTGTCATAATTTTCATTTATTCGAATAACCATTTAACATAACATTTATTTGTGCGAAATTCCATTTGACATAATTTTCAAACATCCGAATTACTTTTTAACCTATAATGCAAGTCAGAGAAATTTCATTTGTCCTAAAATAACAATAGAAATGAGAAGAAGTTCACAATCAAATGTGACGCCAGCAACTACGCCATTGGAGCAGTATTGATGCAGAAGTTTGAAGACGGATAACATTCAATAGTGTGCATTAGCCCAGTCTTGACGGATCCAGTGAGGAATCACAGCGTTACAGAGAAGGAGTGTCTGTCGCTTTTGTGGTCGATTAAAACGTTCAGGCCGTAAATTGAGGGGTATAAGTTTCATGTGATTACGGATTACAGTGCCCTAAAATGGCTCTGGAACTTAAAAGATCCAACAGGCCGTTTAGCCAGATGGGCCCTGGAATTTATGCAGTGGGATTTCGATATAGTTCTCAGGAGAGGTGTACAAGTGATGCATTGTGATGCACATACAAGTGTCCTAGATGCATTGTCCAGGCTGTAAGAAAGGAAGAAGAGTCGATAGCGGCGTTTAAATCCATTGAGGACCAAAGGCACCTTAGACGCCGTGAATTGGTGAGCCAGTATCCTCAGAGGTTTCCTGGTGGATAGTGGAGAATGACAATCTCTGCCGACATAGAAGTGACCCACTTTTCTGTGAACACAGCAACACAGGCAGCGACTAAGACGTCTCCTGCGTTTCTAAATTTTGGAAGACATCCTAAGCCAGTCAACAGCCTGCGAAGAGAAGTAGAGAGTAGGAGAAAAGTGAGGATAGAGCCAGAAGAGTGGGTAGACATAATAAAAAGATTAGATGCGCTGAGAGACATGGTGGCCAGATCACATTACCGATCTGAAAAAATACTTACCAATCTCAAATTTGTAAATGACCACATTCTTGTTGTGAATTAATCAAATTGTTTCAGATTGGAGGAGAGTAGTTATTGTAGATCAGAGGAGAGCAGTTAATTGGAAAGATTGCCCTGACAGAAAAAAAACGACGAGCCATGTCATACTCCAGAAGGGGTGTAGAAGTGGGAGTGGACGAAAGCCAGAGACTCCAGAGAGAGAAAGGGACCGAATGGAGAGACGAAGACCCGAGTTTAAACTCGTAATGGAAATTCAATTAAACTCTCTCCAGAGGTCGATTTGAGCGTGTTGAAAAAGTCTACTGGGAAGAAAACCGTCAAGGGATGCAGACCAGAGGACGTTAAGGTACTTGTGTCTACCGCTAACCCGCTGACAGGAGATCAGGAGAAATCATGCAGGAGTACGAGAGTAGTTTATCAGAGTTCAAGTTTGACCGTTTCGAAGAGACAGCCCCAAGGGCTCAACGCTCACATTCTTCTCATCCAGGACCTACAGTACGGCGACTAGAGGAGACTGGTACACAGCAATTGTGGACGCCGAGAAACGACCGTTAAAGATTGTCCAAGGTGTGCAGAAGCGTACTGCCGATCCTATGTAAAATAGTACCAGTCATGGGGAGGAGATTAAGACGATGGGAATTGTCTTTTCGTTACCTGAAAATGTGAATCGTCGTGCCATCTGTCGGTGAAATCCCCGAACCGACATATCAATTATTATGGTAATGAGAGAAAGCTAGCACAGCCGGATGACCCACTAGTAGTAACAAATATGTGTCGCTCGGCTAGCTAGTAGTAGAGAAAGTGCCAGAGAGCAAAGCCGGTGCGAGTAGTAAGAGACGGTTAGAGGAGAACCAGTGGAATGAGGGAGAAGGAAATATGAAGAAGACGAGCACGTGCGAGGAAATTAGAAGTCGCTACAGGTGTCTAATACTTTCACCCCCTTAATGGTTTTGATTTCGTCGCACTAGTAACCGTACATTCTTGTAAAAATACCTTAAACAAAATTTTAGTGCACATTCAAATAAAATTGATAATCTAATGTTTAATTTACCAATATGTTATTTATAAAAAGAGAAAAAATATTGCTATTATAAATAATCCAATTTTATATGCTTGACCTAGTAAACATTGAATTTCATCTCCGAAGCCTTGTTTTTTTATTAAATAATTAAATATACAATTAAGTTTAATAGAATATTTTAATGATAATATAAAATTGCGCTGTAATTTTTGTATATTTTACTAAAAAAAATGTTGGGAAAAGTGAAAGTGAAAATTAATTAGGTGAATTCAAAAGTGGAAGTAAAAATTAATGTAGGCAAAAGTGAAAATGAAAAATAATTATGGTGAAAGTGAAAATTAATAAAGGTGAAAGTGGAAGTAAAATTATATAATCGACCCATAGTTTACGAATTAAATAAAAACGAATAACAACCGTAGAGTTCACAAGGTGAATGTGTTAAATCTAAAGAGTTATATACACGGACAGAAATCTGTTGCGAATAATGCATAGAGTAGAGGTTATGAATATAGCATAAGCACTTACTAGCGAAAAGTATAAGAGGTCCGCCTGAATATCAGTCGACTCTGCCTAATATTCAGGCGGACTCGAGAAATAAATAGGCTCTCTGTTAGGATTTTAGCATCAAAGAATCTATGGAAAAAGTATATGAAAAGTTTCGAGCATTAGTCCTAACAGATTTCTCTCCGTGTACCTCTCTTCGTTTTTAAGTGTTGTTGCGTGAGATAACAAATTAATGATATTATATAATTTGTTTTTTTCTTACAAAATAGTTTTTTTTAATTGTTGAGAGAAAAAGTACCGTCGATGCCCAGTCATCGTGTACGATGACCGTCTAAGTTCAGTGAGAAACTAAGAGTGAAAAGTATTGTCATTAAAAAAGTCTCTACGGGAAAAATGTGGTGCTCAGCCTTGTGATGATGTTGGAGGAGGTGTTGGCAGAGCAGGAGAGAGTCCACAAGCAATATCTGAAGATTTGAAGCCTATTGGGGAAAAGAAATAGCCTCTTTCGTGTATTTCTGGTACATCAGATTCAAATTCTCATCATGGAATTTTTCTTCAGACAATTTAAAAATTTTTGTCGACTAATCCTAAAATTATAGAAAATTTATCCTTAATACAAATTTCGGAATTAAAATTTACGTACTGTCCTGGAAAAGTTGGCTTTCTATACCAGTTTGTTGTAAGTTTATTATTTTCTCTAATAATTGATACATCTAAAAAACTAATACTATTGTTAGACTTAATTCCAATAGTAAATTGTAGTCTAGGATGATAAAAATTAAATATACTAAGAGTGTGATTAATAAATTCCTCAGAAATACAAAAAATAATGTCATCAACATAACGAAAATAAAAAAGTAATTAAAACTTAATGACTTTAAAATATATTCTTCCAACTTTCCAATGACTAAATCGCTAATAGTACCAGAAAGAGGTAAACTCATAGGGGTACCAAAAATCTGCTTGTAAAAATTATTATAAAAAAATAAATTTTCAATACAAAACTCGACTAACATTATAAATTCATCGACAGGAATCTTTGTGTAATCTCTAATATCCTTTCATTTTAATTTTAAATATTTTAAAACCAGTTCTTTAGGAATATTTGTGAATAGGGATTTAACATCCAACGAAATTAATCTGTAATTACTAGGAATATAAAAGTTCTCAATTTCGTTTCCAAAGTCCCTACTATTCTTTAAAAAAATCGTTATTTCTAATCGTTTTCTGTATCGGAATACTGATAAATTTAGACACTGATGCTAAAGGGGAGCCACAAAAAAATGTTACATGTCGCATGGGTATACCTTTGTGTACCTTTAGTGACCCATAGAACTTAGGTGCAACCGAATTGTAGCTTTTTAACATTTTTGATGTAGGGCAATTCATATAACCTTTTTTGCAGAAGCCCACCGATCTTAGCGTTCAAATCCCCTTGAATAAAATTTGTAGGGTTTTTATGAAATTCTAGAAGTTTCACAGAAGTTTCGAGAAACTATTTTTCAAATCAGCGACCCGAAAACCTCCGAGTAACATTTTACAATCGATTTTGATCTATTTAAAAAAACATCTTTAACAGATGGAAATGTTCCTCTAAATCTTATTGTTATTTTCGTGAATAGACCTAACTCTCATATCAATAACACAACTTTGAATTAAATTATGTTGGTAAGAAAACAAAAGTAGACAGAACGTCAGAAACTCAACAGAGTCAAACGGCATGTAAATAATTTTAAATTCTTTGCTTAAATAAATATTCAAACAAAGATAATAACCAAACAAAATAAAATATTTAATTCTAAAGCCTGTTGAGCTTCATCTTTTCTTAACGCTCCATCCGTCGCACCTTTTTTTGTAACGCGATCCGTCGCAGGTGAGGAAAATTCTCCCCCTCATAAATTAGTCCAAACTTGTTCTAAAATGCCAAATTTTTTTTTAAATGTTCATTAGAATTTCTAAACAACCTATTGTCAGTACAATTAATTTTTATTTTCTGTTAATTTTTATTTTCTGTTAATTATTTAAATGAAAAATTAATCGAGTATACGCGGTCAGTCGTATGGTCAGAAGTTTCCTCACTTCGCGTCAAAAATCCCCATCATATTCTGCTTTCAAATTCAATAACAAAGAAATTAAAATATAAAAACACACAAAAATTGTTTTAATGTAAAGAAGAAGAGTGCTGTATAAGGTACTGAGAATATGAAGTTATAATTTTTTGTATTTTAAAAGTTATAAATAAAAAAAGAAACTGGGTGAGGGAATTTCTCACCATGCGACGGATGGAGGGTTAAAAGTATTTTTCATGCGTTACTAAAAATATTCCTGTATTAATGTAAATAAGGTGACTGTATTTTATCGTTTTTGGGTTAGTCAAAAAGCTTAAACAGTTGTCACAAAAGAAAAAATTATTTAAAAACTTACCAAGTCACCATTTGCTTTTGCAGAAAAACATAAAACTGGACAAGGGGAGTACATTATAGGCGCATACATGCTTGCAACGACTGTACTTTCTTGTTGAAAGAATCTTTCATACTGCAAAAAATATTTAACTATTATTAACATTTAAACTAACATCTTAACCCGTTGTGGTTACACATAGTCCAAATGATCTCATTGAAAAATTAGTCATTAGGTTATTATTTGCAGGTATGTTCACAATGGGTTAAATTAACAATTTTTTGTGTCTCCAAAGTTAAAAACATATAGATTTTGTCATTATGCTGATCTTAAGAGTTACATAATTAAGGTTAGAAGCTAACCCAAAAAAATATTAAATAATATATATAGTTTTCCATTATTATTTTAAAAAATGATTCATATTGTGATAAATTAAATTTTCTACATTTATTTAATTTAATATTATTTAAACAAAACAAACCTTGTTTTTATTTCCATTAGTGTGCTGACTAAAGACTGGACAATTTGAAAATCTCCGGAAGCCACATTGAAAGATCAAACGTTCTTTAGATTTTATCGGTTTTAAACATTCACCTGATCGTTTTAGTACCACATTGACAAGAGACATTTTTTGCTCATGTAGCAAAAGTCCAAAAACTATTAGAGGACGATTCTCTACCGAACAGTATGTCTCAAACAACTGATGACTAACATTTTTTACATGGATTGTTATATAGGATCCAGGCTGAAAAGATAATAATAATTTAATTAATACTCCTGCGATTTTGCGAATTTGTTATTTTGAAACATCTTAATATAATTGAATTACAATTATTGGCACATTGTCTCACTTTTTAATGGCGTGTAAAATTACTTTTAATTTTTCATTATTTCTATTTATTCACTACTATATTAGATAATTTTTATTTTTCGTTCCTAGGATAATTATTAAAAATATAGTAATTAACAAATTAAAGTTTTAACATTTAAATAATAAATAAAAATTAAACAATAACTTAATTCGTTCTTATGATATAGTTTATTGTTAAATAAAATATTCTGGATTTGGTTGATATTTAAATTAGCTATATTAATATAATTAATAAACAAAATAAAATAAATTTTTAAATAGCGAGTTGCTAAAGCAACAGATTTTTAAATAATTCTATAGGTTCACAGAATTATAATTTAAAATCATATTATCTAAACCTCAAAATATTAATATGATGTGATCCCTTGCATATTATTTATCTTTGAATTTATATACCATAGGTAAATTGGGAAACTGTATATTCTCATTATCTTAATTCATATGATAACGATGTTCATTCATTTTATTCATCGCCCTTTCGTGTTCTTCCTGATAATTATTTAACTTCACCTTTAAGGATGATGGAATGAATGCCGCTATCGTTTTTACCTTATATTTCCCCTTCTCCAGTATTATTCAAGCATATTGTTTATGTGTTTTCACAATTTCGTTTCATCTCATTGTTATTGGTTGTAGAAACATTTTAAAAAATTATAAACAAACGAGGGATAACTATGGTACGAAACTATTTAATATATTTAATCGTTAATCTAATAATTTGAATTTTTCTTGAAAACATCTTAAACATAAATATTAAAATATTGTGCTGTTATTTTGTTTGGATTTATAATTTCAGTGTGATATTATATTGTTTTTTATTGAAATCCATTATTTTAACAATTTAAAATATTTTATTTATGAGCTTTCGCCCGTCGACAACAGGCATCCTCAGATATTAAACTGAAATACATGTTATTTTCAATTAGAAAACTTTGTCTTTTTTCATGACAAAATAACAACCGAAAAACTTACCAAGAGGTCTTTTCAAAAAATGAACACAAAAACTTTAAATAAAAAACTCCATTTTTTGGAGATATTCATATATAATAATAAAATCAAGAATATTTTGTACTTGATTAAAAAAACAAAAAATTAAACAATTTGAAAAAGACGTGTGAGCATACCTGCTCTTTAACGTATAAAAAATGTTTTTTAAATGCCATATGAAGATAAAACAGATTCGGAGTATGATAATGAAAAAAACTGCTAAATCAATAATTTCAAAAATGAAAATAAAGAAAAATTTATTAATTTAAATATAAAGACAAATTAATTAATTAAAATAATTTAATTAGTGTTTAGAATTAACGAATGATAAATTTGATTTAAATTATTTATGTCAGTTTGCTTATTTATAGAGTTTTGGACTTTGAGAATGTGAAACATTTCTCTAAATTTCCTGTGTCTGTAATTTCGCTCACTACAAATAATATTTGTGGAATCGAAACTAAAAAAATTATCATTCTTATGAGCATGTGTTACCAGAGCTGTTCCAATTATCATTATTGCAATCCCTTTTATGTTCGCTTAATCTACTTTTAATATATCTACCAGTCTCACCAATGTAGCAAGCTCCACATTGGCAGGGAATACTGTAAACCAAATGCGATCTGAGATCAAATGGAGTATTTTCCTTATTCTTTGAGAAAACTTTAAATGGATCCTTCTCATAAGAAAAAACAACCCTAATGTTATACTCGTTATACAATTCTTTTAAAGAATATTGTAACTCGTTCACATATGTCAAAACAACTAAATTTTGTAGTATCAAAAATCTATCTATCTACCTTATTATCGTTTACAAGAAACCGATAACGAATATTTATATATTTATTTAAAAAAGTTCTGGGATAATCATTTTTAATTAATATGTCATAAATAAAATTTAAATTTTCTGCAAAAAATTTTTGGTCTGACAGTTTTTATATTATTAATATTAAAAGATTAGATAAATAAAAATTTTATTAAAAGTCATTAATCAATTTTAAATGTTATTTATTTTCTTACATTCTTTTTCAATTTTTCCAAATAGTTTTTGTATTTTAATATTTGTTTGGACTTCCTTTGTTCTTATAATTTTTATTTTAATGCTTTCTATTTTTACAATTTATGGTTTTTATTTAGGTATAAATGTTTTTTTATTGTTTATACTCCTGCCCTATTGGCCTTACGCACTTCGACAAGAGTCCCCGAGAAATACTTTTTGGATTAAGCATAACCATTCTACTTAGAAATTTTTCTATATATTAACCTAATTTTGCGTCTACAGCCGACTTTTATTAGGAGTACTCGCATTGCGCCTGGACCACCCGTCAATGGGTTTTCTCGCCAGAGAAGAGGGAAACTGTAGAAAACCTCTCCTGAGTACAACCGGTTTATCGACAGTCGAGTTCTAATGGTGTGTACCGAACAATAATCGACGGTGCACATCATTATACCTCGACGTCAAACCTCCCGCTCAGATTGTCTCACGTGCCGGAAAAATACCAAGCCAAGTGGGCGCGAACCAAGGATACTTATACCCTTTGTCCTTAAACGACCGCCAATGCGAGGCATCTATCCGACTGAGCCAATCTGTCGGTTCATTTAGGTATAAATGTTCTATCAGTAGAGGTGTGCAAAAAGCTCGAGGCTTCGAGTACCCGAAATTTTCGAGTAGTCGAGTGGATTCAGGTACCCGAAAAATTCGAGTACTTGAAATTTTCGAGTACCTGGTACATCAATTCCTCTTCTTTTTCTTCTTATTCCTCGTTTTTTCTTCAAATTCTCTAATAACTGAATTCTGCAAGTATACTAAGGCATATAATGAGAATATTTAGAAAACAACTTTTTTCCTTCTCAACCGATTTTAATGAACAAGTAATCAAATTAAAGCTAGAGAGCTCCTCTATTTAATAGACCCCATGAGAGGCCTAAGTAATTGTTAATAACAATGGAAATAAATAAATAAGAGAGAGACACCCGCAATAGGCTTTTTAGCCAGTCGGAGTTCCTCCAGTATGAACTTTAGTGAAATTTTCTTATTTATTTAATTTTATTATTAAAAATTGAGAGACACTCCACAGAGACTGTTCCACAAATCGCAGTGACTAATATTCTTTGTCAATAATCGAATTTAATTTTTTTATTATTCACGTCAAATTGAAAATCGACTATTATTTTCTCCTTTCGAGAAAATTTACTTTGAATTATCCACTTTTGTAATATTTCGTTCACTTTAATTATTATATTAAACCTGTAATTAGCGAACCGTTAGATCGCTGGTCAAAACAATTAATTGATTATAAGAAAATTGATACTGGGTTTATAATTTTATGTAAACTATCACTGCGAGTTCCAGATTTCCAAACTTCGGGATCACTGCCGAGAGATTACTTCGTATTTGTCCAGCAAGTAATCTGATTCCTGGTATTTATTACTGAAATAAATACCGGTCATACGAAGTGACAGAAATACGAGAATCCATCGAAGAGAACATCAGCTGTCAAAACACTGGTTGCAGCCATCTTGCGAACCGGACGGAGACTAAATAAACTTTTATGAACCCTTTCCGACGGTCGTTAAATTACCCAATTACTTACTGTCGCGCATCGATTACCATCTGAAAATCTTTGTAACGAGTGCGCGTGAGACTCACAACGAAGCCGAGATGCGCGTCTGCTTCGGCGTCCCCGTCGGCCATTTAATTCATTCTCATTTTGGCGTCCTATAGTGACAGGTCGCAGTAGACCATTTTGATATTAAAATTAAAATTAATTGTACTACTCCGAAAAAGATGAGCCGAGGAACAATGCGGGGACGTCGGCGCATCTCCGGTGAGTCAATAACAGTTTCTACTCTCAGTGAATCTCGTAATAATTCAGTTTCTTTATTACAGCTGGTACATCGAATGCTACACCAACACACGTAAATCAACATGCACGAAAAAGAAAGGAGAAGTTCGATGTGGATAAAACTTGTGGAAAACGACGAAAATGTGAAATCGACGACGGATCGTCGACTTCAATAAAATCAAAAAAAGAATCGAAGTACATGTTAAATACGCTGGCATGGTACCATTATGGGAATAAAAAGAAGTTGCCCCTGTACATTGTAGAAAAACCTTTAATTTCTAGAAGCAAATTTACAGCCAATTTTTTTGAGGAAGGTAAAATGTACGAAAATTCGAGAGTAAGAATTGATAGCCTTTCTGTGTGGCAGAAATTTCCCGTCAAGGAGATTCTAGCAGAAGCAATGAAGGAATCATACGAACTTTTTTTGACAACGGTTCGGGCATTGAAAAATGCTGCCACTTACTTAGGCAAAATAAGAAACCGGAACTATCAGTATTATGAATTAAGATTTTTGTTTACCGGCCGATACAAAGATTTGTAAATTAAAAATAAGACAGAAACACTGACAATATACTCATCTGCCATTCCGGATGACTTCAGTGTAAACTTAACCCAAGTTAATACCGTAGTCACTCAAAATGGCTAACGAATCAAAGATTTTGTTTTCCGACGAATTATTATTATTGTATTATTATTATTTAAATTGTTGTAAAATATGTTCTTTTTATAAACTACATAAATATACATATATACTTATTAATCTAGAGAACAACTTTATTTCTTCTTAACCAATTTAATTATACATAATCTTAAATAAATAAATAAAAAAAATAAAAGAGAGAGGCACTGAGAATATATCATTAGTCCAGTCTAAGTGGCTGCTGCTGAACTTTGAAGTTTATAAGAGAGGCACTCCGAGAGGACTATTAGGATTTTATCAGTGTCTCTTTTTTATATAATAGAGGCACTCCGAGAGGACTATTAGGATTTTTCAGTGTTTCTTTTGTGATCAGAGTCATTTCACTAGTGACAGCCGTTACA